CCGCACGCTTGCCTCAGAGAATCTTTGAGAGGATGTGCCCTTACTCCAGCCTAAAGGCCTTTACTTTTCCTGACCTTCTGGCCGGCCCCAAAAGAAGGAATGACGTGGATGGAGATGGTCCTCTGAAAAATGGGAGGAAACGGGGCAGATTGGAGGTGGGGAATTAGCTCAAGTGGTAGAGCGCTCGCTTAGCATGTGAGAGGTAGTGGGATCGATGCCCACATTCTCCAGCCTTTTATCAGTTCAACTGAGGAGCTCTTGTTGATAACTGCAAATCTTCCAAAGTACAGAAAGAAATGAAAAAACTATACACTTTGGACCCTTCTCTGGGCAGGGACAAAACGGGGCAACGCTGGCTCTACTGGCCTTTGGTATATACATGTCTCATTAATGATAAATCAAGTAGATTAAAAAAATCAAAAAACACATTGAAAATGTAACACCATGCACCAATGGGTCGAATTGACCTTATAAAGCAAAATCACAATGAGGTTCTACCAAAGAGTTGAAAGGAAAGCAAGATCATATCAAAACTTAAGAAATCAAAAATGGTCAGAGTGAAGCAGAGGGACATTATGAAAACAAATATTTTAAAAAGCATTATTTAGCTGCAAATGCCAGCGAGACTGAAAGTAGTAAAACTGGAAGAGGATCATTCCTTGCCCATATTTATCCTTCTAGCTCCAGAGATCTGTGTGGTCAGATTAGTTCTGAATCACCTGAGCCTACGGCCCAGCACAGAGCAGCTCCCCAATGAATATGTACTGACTGAGTGGAAAGGAAGGGATAGATTCAAGAGAGCGTCACAAGAATAATGTTCAGTATTTGGCAGGGCAGTGGATGTGGATTTTGAAGGAGGAGAATGAGCCAAAATTGACTTGCAAGTCTAAGCCCAAAAGGCCAGCACAGAGGAGGTTGGGAATTAGATAGAGTGTGGATGAATGAGCTATTGTGGAGAACAGACAGTGAGATCATGAGCTAGAGCAGGAAAAAAGATCACAATTTGGAATCTAAAAGTCTGTTTCTCAATTCATACTTTGCTGCTTAGCAGCTCTGGGACCTTTGAAACATTGCTTAACTTCTCTGAGCCTCCATTATATCTGAAAAATGCAAATCATGATACATACTTTTGTTACCAAAATTCAATTTGAATATATGAAATCATCTCCATAAATTTCTTAGTATAATTATAAGGCTGAAACAATTAGTAGGTTTTTTATTAAGTTCAGTTTGTGTTTTTTGTAAGGATAATGTCTCCAGTCATGTATATCCAAGTGGAGATTTAGAGTGAGACAGAGAAATATGGACTGTAGACGAATGTGAGGAGTATTCATTCACTCAGTCAGTCAGTGAACTAATATTAACTGGGCACTGTTCAAAAGTTTCTTTTGAACATAAGGTACCAAGGAAAGTATAAGAGTGACTGAGATCTTTGAAGGTGGGAAGAGGCAGATCACGGGAACACAAGAGGGAAAAAGAGTAGCAAGAGACCTGTACAATTCTTGGGTACTGCAAGCCAGAGTGTCCAATTGCTGGGTGTATACTGGAAAGGTGTGGACTCCACAATTCCTGGATGTGGAACACTTCAGGTGCAGCTTTGGTTTAAATGGAACGATTTACAAGTAACATTGATTACATTCTTCAAAAGCTGGAAACTGATGGACATACCTGGAAAATAAAATTTCATATTTTATTTTCAAAGGAAAAGGTAGGGAACATCTGTCCTCTTAGCGCAGTAGGCAGCGCGTCAGTCTCATAATCTGAAGGTCCTGAGTTCGAGCCTTAGAGAGGGCAGGTGTTTTCATCTTTTACCAAGCAACAACAAATATCTCCTGTCAGTCCCTTCCTCGTGGAGCTTCACCCCAATCGGGAGGAGTGGGAGAAACTGAACAAGAAGAAAGTAAGAAAAAATGCATCATAAGCACATGAGGAAATGTGTGCTGGGGTGTAATCATTAGGCAGTAAGAGGGCTCGGGATTGTGGAGGTGGCACGTTCAGCTTTCAGCGGAAGAGTCAGGAAAGATACTGTGTTGAAGATGCCTTTCAGTCTCTCCTTTCGCTCTTGCTGAAATCCTTGTGCCCGAAGTTTTTCTAATTCAGCTCAGTTTCAGTCTTCAAGGAATGAATCCTCCGTGTCATTGGTCTATAGACAAGGAAGGAAAACCTGAAAAAAGCTGTGGGGGAGTGAACATGGTCTGTATTGGACAGTTCTGGCCTTTCCATCTCAACATTCATTGTTTTTGGCTAGCGGGAGGGTGGACCTCTCACCTCAGTTTCTGAACAGAGAGATCCTGGTGAAAACAAGGCCTTTCCACTACTTTGTACTTGAATTTTATGGGGCAGTTGGCCTGAGGAAAGAAGGAAGGCTGTTGAGGGGCACCTAGAGACACAAGGTATACGGCAGAATTTGTCCTTCTGAAGTCTGAGTAGCCTCGGTCTGCGAGAGAATCAGAAAGACCCAGACGGTCAAATAACAAAAACAGCAACAACAAGAAAAAAAAAAATTGTGAAACCAGAGGAGTTCTTGGGAAAACTCATGAAAGAAGAATAGGAGTAGGATCTTTGGGTAGCTCTTCCTTAAGAAGGTTTCTTACCCATCTGTCCCAACCCAACCATCACAGTCCAAATCAACACCTTCAGAAATATCTCCAAAAAAATGAAACAATCAGGTGGTATTTAATTTCCACAAAAACAACCCCAGATAGAATTTTTCCTCTTTGCACAGGCAGCTTAAATATGGTTTAAAATGGGGGGAGGGGGGAGGATCCCAGGAGGTAATGCAAGAAATATATTAATCAGCATTAGTGATCAGATCCTGATGAGGTCCAAAAAAATTGAGAAAAGAGAGCATCATGATTCTGCCATGCTGAGCTGTGAACAGCCCTTGCACTTTGCTTTTCACTGAGAGACATCCCTTTCCCTCAACTTGAGCTTAAGCTTCTTCAGACACAAAGAATCCTTCGGGTGAAGTTCTTCGAGAACTTCTGTGAATAGGTAGGCCTTCAGCAAACCCAACATTTGCTTAAGTCAGTGGCACACAGTCTTGCAATAAGATAGAAAATGCCTTACATTTTGATTCTGTTGTAGGTATTTGGTAACCAGGCTGTGTCTGGGCTAGTTTCCCAGTTGCCCACAGAGGACCTTTCTTCACCTCTCAGCTCCTGACTAATACATCTTCTCATTTTGAATCAGACTTAGTAATAAGGTGCCTACTTCTAGGTACTAAGTCCCTGAATCACATGTCACTTTACTACTGACACCATCCCCCATAGCTAATGACTCTTACTGTGATTTCAATCTATTACATTAACTTATGGCACCTTCCTCACAAAGTGTCTTATGAAGTGCTTTAGAAAGTGTCTTATGAAGTTTTAGAAAGTGTCTTATGAAGTTTTTCTTTTAAATTTCTTGTCTCTCCTCTAGAATATAAGGATCTTTAGGCTCAAATCACTGTGTCCTCAGTGCCTGGAGTTAAGGCATAAATATGGTTTTTGTCTTGAAATGGAAGTAATAGGTAAATGGAGTTAATAGGCAGATCAAATACAAGTTAATAATTTAATAAATCATTTTATTAACTTCCAAAATGTTAATCTCTGCATTTTTCAATTCATTTTGCTCTTTCTTTATGACTTATTTGATGTTTTGAATTTTATTGATGAATGGCAATTTATAATGCATAATTTTAATTTTTCCCAGACAGAATTTTCTACCTTCTAATTAGTGAATAACAAATAAAGGTGTAAGGGACCACAGATGTTTAGGGCTCCTGTTATAAAACAGTCACAACTGATAACAGCTTGAAGTTGGGTGAAAACTAGAACCGAATTTAAAGCCTATTTCCTTTTGCATGTATTTCCTCCAAACATTTTCTTCCACACAGGTTCTTAATTTCCACTTTCTTTCTCTCTTCAACAGTGAAGTCCAAAAATGTTCCCTTGTCTCTTCTTCTAGGTTTCAGGATGAAGAGAGCTTGAGGATTTGGAGGCTTGTGAGAATTCTTATACAGGTAGACCACAAATCTTTGACATTGCGCAGCTTAGAGGCTGCAGGGAAGAAGAGGAGACGGCAGTCATGTTCAGAATGATGACAATGTAGACAGTGTAGCAGCCTTTTCAGGGTAACCAAGTGTCTTGAAAACAGTTTATTTTTTGTGGGACCAATGACAAAATGGTGACATATATGATTATAGTTTGTATGATCCCAACTATTTCTCTGTGATTTTCTCTTAGGGAGTGGGGACTTGGGATACAGGTGAAGAAAGATTAAAAAGGAATGAAATAAGTCCTCTTTCAGAACCATGTGCTAGAAATTGTACTAAAATTTTATCAATTTATGCAACTTGTTTGATTTAGCATTGCAGCTAACCCATGCATCTATGCCTTTATCCATTCTATGTTTATGGAGGATGGATTCTGTGCCAGACAGTGTACTGGGCTGGAGATGCAGAAAGACTCATGCTACTGCTAAAAGGAGCTAAAAGAATAAACCTCAATCCCTTAATATTTTACAACTTCTTTTTCATTCTCTTCAATTCTGGTTTCCCCCACCTTTCATAAAATGTTACCTTGATTATGTAAGCCTTATGCCTGGATTTTTTTCCAAAGGTTTTTAAGCCTCCACAGTTTTCTCCCCAGTGTATCTTCATGTGTACAGGCTTTTCAATCACTTTCCCTCCATGTCTATTTTACACACATACACACATACACACACACACACACACACACACAAGCACTCCAATTGAACAGGTATATTTCTGAACACAGGAATTCCTACCTCCATGCCTGTTCCTTCCACCCTGTGCACGCTGTTCCCTCCATTTTCACTCCTAAATGTCCATATTTTTTCCTTCACTATGATATGCTCTCTCGTCTTATTTCCGATGGTTCTTGTCTGTAATATCTTGTATTTTTTATTGTTCTATCCTACGGTGTAGATATGTAAATCCTCATGACCTGCCTCAGTAACAACAGAGAAATATCTTAAAACGGTATAAAAGGTGAGTTTCCGTAGTGTAGTGGTCATCACACTTGCCTAACACGCTAGAGGTCCTCGGTTCGAAACCGAGCGGAAACAACTGATTCTCTTTTGCCTTCCATCATGCGGGAAAAATCAGCCCTCCGCCTCCCGCAAAAGGAACTAGTGGTCATCCCACTCCTGTCGGTTTGTCGTTTTCATTTCGTTTTTAAGAAACAGATAAACATCCTGAGATAGACCTGTTGAGTTAGCCGGCTGTTCTGGGTGACTCCTCCCAACTGGGACGTTTTCCCTTCTATCTCGGAAAATCTGAAACGTGAAATTTTGGGACGCCAAGCTTTTCCCATGGCTACTCCCCCTCTCCTTTTCCTTAGAAGAGGAATGGGTACCAACCGTGCTCTTGCCTCAGGGCATCTTTGAGAAGACTTGCCCTTAGCAGAATCAGGGTTTCAAGTGAATGATGGGGATGGGACTCTGAATAAGTCGGGGAAAATAACGAGCGAAGGGTGGGGGATTAGCTCAAGTGGTAGAGCGCTCGCTTAGCATGTGAGAGGTAGTGGGGTCGATGGCTATATTCTCCAGCTTTTGCTCTCAGTCGAGGAGCGCTGGCTGATAACTGCAGATCTTCCAACCTGTAGAAATAAAAGAGAAAATTAGACACTTTGCACCCAGCTCTGGGCAAGGACATGACAGAGCAGCGCTGGCTCACTGGCCTTTGGTATGTACCTTTACTATCAGCCTATAATTTATTCTCTGTTTTTTCAGAATAGCTGGTCATCTCAAGGGATATGCCCAATTCCTTTTTATTCCTGTTTCTTCCTGCTACTTAGCCGCAAGGTGGTACAGTCCTGAGAAGCACAGGGCAGAGCTGGGTCAATAAAGCCCCAGCTTTCTTGTCAGGGACTGAAACTGAGTACCCCAAGTAACCAGAAAATATCAGGAAAGACACCGTGGAAAGCAAACACGTGAAATTATTAGTGAACTTCCAGATGCACCCGCGAGCTGTGAATAAGTGGCTCTGATCCTAAACAACCTACCATGGACTTTGAGAACTGAAGTGATAGCCCACTGCCCAAGTCCACCCTGGTCACTGGATTGCACACACTCCAGAGATCTCCAAATGGTATTAGAAAGGCTTTGGAAATGGATTGGACTATGAAACCACAACACACAGGAGGCTGTTCGGTACTTGGAATTTGAACACAAAGCAGTCGGGTGCCTGCAAAAGCAAGATTGGCAATATTCCCCATAAGCTTTGAACAAGACATAAAGCCTTATAATGTAATACAAAAATGGCCAGGTTATAATCCAAAATTATTCAGCATATGAAGAACCAAGAAAAATCTTAATTCACTTGAAAAGAGAATCAACAGATACCAATACTGAGATGACACAAATGTTGGATTCCTCTGACAAATATTTTCAATGCTGTGAGAATTAGGGGTGAGAACTCTTTGAAATAAATGTAATGTTAGGAAGTCTTAGCAAAAAAATAGGAAGCTATACATCCAAATTGCAACTTCAGAACTGAAAAATATATTAACCAAAATTATAAAGAACATCTCACTGGATTGTCTCAATAGGAGAAGGAGATGACTGGAAAAAGTCAATGAATGTGTAGATAGAACAATAGTAACTACTCAATTAAAATGACATAGAGAAAAGTGTATTTTAAAAGATGGACGGAGACTTAGGGACAAATAGGAAAATAGCAAAGTTCTTATATTCACATCATTGGAAACCCAACAGAGGAAGGGAAAGAAGTCTTTGAAAAGAAGCGGTGGGGGGAACACTGGAAATATTAATGGTTGAAAACTCCCCAAATTTGGCAAAAGTTATAAACCAGAATAAAAACATTCAGCAATGCTAAAGCAGCATAAAACCAAATAAATCCACACCCAGACATATGACAATCAAACTGCTGGAAACAAAAGAGGAAAAAGATGCTTGAAAGCATCAGAAGAAAATGAAAGAGAAACTGCATTCTGAATGATTGTGGATTTCTCATCAGAAACCATAAGTACCGGAAAGAAATGACATGACTTTTATTAAATGCTGAAAGAAAAGACCTGTCACTCCAATAGCTAAATATAACAAAAATACCCTTCAGGCATAAAGGTGAAAGAAACACATTCTCATTTGAGGTAAACTGAGAGAATTCATTGCTAACAGAAGTGCTAGAAAAGACTAATGTCGTGAGACAAGAAAAAATGATACCAGAAGGAAACAGAAGAGCATAAATGAAGGAACAGTTAACCAAAATTTCAGAAACAGAAACCTGTTTGAAATAAAATGATGTTTATTGGGAATGTAGCCTGGGAGACACAGATTCAAGAAGCACATGGGTCGTGTTCCACTGGACTACAAAATGAAGGAAGCTTATTAAAGGGAAAAACTGCAAGGCCACACAGTTAGTTACATAAGTTGTTTGTCCATAATTATAATTGGAACTGGCAAGAAGCAACACTGCTTGTTTAGCAAGAATTGGTTAGGGTCTGCAATGGTTACATAGTTACAAGTGGGAGCCTTGATACTATAAGTTTGCAGCTTGTGGAAGTTGCTCCAAATATGGCTGGTGGTGTCCTTGGGTTTGGTACAGTTCAAAGTTCAAAATCTCAGTGATGTAGGGACTGGTCTAAGACCACATCCTCAGTGGCCATCCAAACTATTTTTATATGCCTGAACTATGATTACTCCATTATGATTTCAGGTTGTCATCAGAACCATAACAAAGAAGCAAATAACTGGGTAAATATAATAGACTCTCATGTTACTCTTCAGTTCTTTAAAGTATATTTGATGCTTGAAAGTGAAAATTATTACATTATCTGGTGGAGTTTTCATTGTATCTATATGTATTACATACATAACATAAAGGGGTTATGGTAAAGGGACTAAATGGTGGTGAGGTTTCTATACTCAACTTGAATGGTAATTTAGTGATTCTAAGTATACTGTGAAATATTAAGGATGTGTATGGTAATCACTAGACCAGCTACTAACAATGTTTAAATAAGTCAAGTGAAGGTAGGAAGGAAGAGGGACAAAGAAATATGAAAAACAAAGGGAACAAACCATTAATAAATTATTAAATAGTAAATGCAAACTTATTAGTAATAATACGATGTGAGTTTCTTATAGTCAGCATATTTATTTTTAATATATTCTGGCAATCCAGATATATCAATTAAAAATCACAGTTTGTCAGTGTATTAAAAATAAATATGTTGATTATAAGAAACCCATTTCAAATATAGTTAAATGTGAGATTAAAAGCTATATTCAAGAGTAAAGGAGATATAGGAGATTAAAAGAAAAGAGTGGGAAAAGAGACCCCACATAAGCATTAATCAAAAAAGATAAAGTGGATATATTAATATAAGACAAAGTAGATTTTGAAAGCAAAGAAAATTGCAAGGTATTAATTGAGAAGGTATACAATTATAAGATGTCAGCTCACTAACAAAATAACCATCCTAAATGTGTATGCCTCTGACCACAGAGCTTCAAAACCCATAAACAATAGCTAATGAAACTGAAAAGAAAAATAGAAAAATCCACAATTATTGTTGCAGATGTCAACAATCCTATCTCTTTCACTAATAGGCCTAGTAGCTAACAAATCAGGGAATACGTCAAGGGACTAAACACTCTCCACTACTGGATCTAAATCACCTTATTAAGTAAAATTGCAACGTGGGTAGAAGAAGTTGAGAGAAAAGCAAAATCATATCAAAATTAGGAAATCAAAAATGGTCAGTGTGAAGCAGAAAACTACTATTTCAGAAAGAGTTACTTAGCTACCAATGCCAGGGAGACTGAAAGTGGTGAAACCGGAAGTGGATCATTCTGTGTCCATATTTATCCTCCCTGCTCCTGAGGTATGGGTGGTCAGATTCCTTCTCAGTGGCTTGAGCCTACTGCAGTGCCTGGCACAGAGCAGCTTCCCAACGAATATGCACTGAATGAATGGAAAGCAGGTGATGGATTCAAAAAAGCTGCACAAGAATAATGTTCAGTATTTGGCAAGTCATTTGACGTAGGTTTTGAAGGAGGAGAATAAGCCAAAGTTGACTTGGAAGTCTAAGCCCAGAAGTCCAGCACAGAGGTTGGGAATTAGACAGGTGGTATGTGGATGAATGGGCTACTGTGGAGAAGAACAGACAGAGAGATCATGAGCTGGAGCTGAGAAAGAGCTCACAGTTTGGAATCTAATAATTTTTCTCGATTCATACTTTGCTGTTTAGCAGCTCTGGGACCTTAGAAAAAATACCTAACTTCTCTGAACCTCCATTTTATCTGGAAAGTGCAAAATATGATACATAGTTTTGTTGCCAAAATTCCACTGGACTACATGAAATAATCTCCATAAATCTCTTAGTATGATTTAGCACGTAAGGTTGAAAAAACAAGGTGGCTTTTTGTTAAGTTCAGTTTGTGGTTTTTGTAGGGAGAATGTCTCCAGTCATATAGCTACAAATGGAGACGTAGAGTAAGACAGAGAAGTACAGATTGTAGACAAATTTGAGGACTATTGATTCACTCAGTGAAATAATATTAACTGGGCAGCTCCTATGTTTCTTTCAACAAAGGAGATGATGAAAGGTGTAAGATTGACTGAGATCTCTGAGGGCAGGAAAAAGTGCATCACTGGAACACAAGACTAACAAAAGACAGCACATTGTCTCCAGTCAAGCAACCCAGATGATCTTATCTGTAGGTGAATACCAGAAAGGCATAGACTGCATCATTCCTGATCTGGAGCATTGGCTTATTGGAATGATTTTCAAGTACCATTGATTGTATTTATTAAAAGCTAGAAACTGATAAAATAGTGGTGGTTGGAAAGTACTGTCTCCTATTTTATTCTCAATGAGTAAAACTTGAGCTATCTGCCCTCGCATCAGTCTCATAATCTGAAGGTCCTGAGTTCGAGCCTCAGAGAGGGCAGGCAGGTCATTATCTTTCCACAGTCGTTTGAAAAATGAGCCAGCCTTTGCTTAAAAGGGTGAAATTAGATTTCAAGTTTGTTGCACTTTCCAGTAACTTCAGTAAAATCATTGGTGAAAACACTTAGATTACACCAGAAAACACAAGTT